TTTGCACAAAAGCTTCCTTGTGCATCCTTTTGCAGCGAATTGCTTTCTGACGTTTTTGACGTTTGCAAATGTTTGTTTACATTTTTACTTTTTTACATGTGCGCGTTTTTTAAATTGAATAAAATTTAATAAAATAAATAAAGTTAGTTAAAGAAATTGGAGTTTAATAATTAATGTAATAAAATTATTTATATAAACGAAATTTACTTTTGTTTAAATAACTCCAAGTGACGCGCGTGAAGTAGTAGTGCAAAGGTATTTATAATTTTTCCCAATTTTGCTAAATGATAATTATATTTAATAAATTCATTTATAAGAATGTCCAACTATTGAAGTATGCTGTGGACGAGTGTGCTGGGAAATGATTCCAGGTAAGTATTTATTTATTATCTCGATGTTAATTTTAATACACTTTATTTCTTGCAGATGATTCACCAACAACAATAAAGCCATTGTATGTAAGTTGGAAATTTGTACAAAATTTCCATCCTTACAGCTTCTAGTTTATTCAGAAGTGGTGATGAACTCTTCACAGAGATTCAAAGATCTTAAGAACTTTTTGCTCGAAAACTCCCAGTACTGCTTCATCATACAATGATCGTGTTCATACTTCTGTACTATACAAAAGAAAAAATAGGATAAACGACCTAATGAGAATATTGATTAAGTTGTATTGTATGTAAATAGAGCACTACATTCCAATCGCCTTTTGTGCCCATAGTAGCACATATTGGGAATGTTAATTCTTCATCTGATCTCTATGTTAATATCGTTGTTGTTAGTCTAAAAATTATGTAATTGATTAAAAAATTGTATTACATAAAATTATAAATTGATAATTGAAAGTAGGAGGCAGAATCATGGATTATTGTTTTTGGAGATAACTACAAAATTTCGTGGTTTATTATCGGATAACTGGATATACGTATGTACCATCAAATTACCATTATTGCAAAATAATATAAATAATAAACATACATTTTTCATTGTTCGTTTGAATAATGTATTTCATGGTGCAAATCAATGCATTACACAATTTGTGCGATGTGATCCTCAATAACACAAATAATAACATATTTTTTTGAAGATTTTCCATTTATTTGAGTTCATATACAAGTATATTTAATACTTTTTTGTTTCGAAATATTTAGTTTCTAACTTATAATTAAAAGTAGATGAACGCGTTGTGAGTGAACCTAATTAAAATTCTCAGACATGATTTAGACTTAAATTTATCTACAATTTTATTTTGCTTATTTAAACTACAATTGATGATAATAATTTCATTTATATAATTATTTATAATATTTATTTACTACTTTTTCAATTCAGATTTGTTCTACTTGAATGGAACAAGTTGTATAATTTTAAACTAAAAATATTTCTATATAAAATCTTGTATTCACCTTAAAATAAATTAGTTTTACATTTAGGTCATAAATTTTTGTTCAATACACATACATACATACATATCTAAATCAGTCAGTTTAGTTAAAAATTTCATTAAACAATTATAATTTCATTTATAAATTATTACTATAATGAATTTTTAAAAAACTTTTACTTAACTTTTTTGCTATATTTTTAGTTTAGAGTAGAACATAAATATGGCTTAAATAACTTATAATTAATAAATTGTTTATATAAAAATAAAATTATACAAAGTAGATATGCGCTCCAAAGAAACCGATTGTATCGGCTTTCAGTTTGTTATTAAATAATTTATTAATTATTTATATTTAAATAAAAAGTGTTAAAAGCATTTACTTCATTTAATTAATAACTTATAACAAGTTAATAATAAATTGTAGTTTTATTAATTCATTTGTTTAAGTATAAAAAAACTAAAGCTAAAGCTAAATTGTAGCTGCATTCTGTGTTGGGTTTTCGTTTAGTTATAAAAATAAATATATACATTTTTAAAATTTAGCACATAAAATAATGAGATTTCGTAAACATTCATGAACACATACAAACATACTTCAGATGATTTTTTGATATTATGTCATAATTTTGGAAGGTTTTTAAAGACATTTTGGACCCAAATGACGAATGTTCTTTAAAACAAATACATATTCAAATTAAAATAATTAAAGAAAATATTTGATTGTGTTTCACATCAAAACTGAAGCAATAAATTAATAAATTTTCAAATCAAAATACATTATTAATCATTATTAATTGAATTTTGTGACAATCATATACACATGCTCAGTGCAAAAGCTTTCATCACATGTTACAGATATTTGCATTTACGCATAAAAGAATTACCATTAATTTCTTAAATAAATTAATTAACATTTTTAATTGCAGTTTTTCATTAAAAAGATTTTCGCACAGAGTCAAACTCAAAAATAAAGTTTGGCTTTCTTTAAAAAATTGAATAAATTTAATTAAATTAAATTAAATGAAAATGTATATAAAAAACAAGTACATAAAATTGTATATAAAACAGTTCAGTCAACATTCACACTACACAAAAACATAATTAGATTAATAATTAATTGCGCTAATTTAATTCTAAAAATATTTTAAATTAAAACAAAAATCATCGTAGCTTAGCCCTCTTAATTTTAAAGTTTTTTGCATTGTCAAAAAATTAAAAAAAAACGGCAGTAACCTTCACTGGCACTCACAAACACATTAAAACTTGTATAGGTTTGTGTGTGCGTGTTTACTAACGTATGTCTAGTCTAAAACAATTTTGTTCTTATCTTAATAAATCCATGGAATTTTGGTTTTACGTGTTCCTTAAAACTCTGTTGATTGTCAGACAAATGAGGAGAAGCCAGGCAATGGTGCTCTCGATCTGGCCATATTATTGACAATGATTTGACCGCCATTGAGACTCATCACTGCACTACCCTCCGGTTCGGAGTCTGTGTAACTTGAATAATTTCGCACTGGCTTCGTTTTCTTCCAGGATTGACGCAGCGAGTCGTTGACATTTGCGTAGTGATTGACAAAAGAATGTGGATCCGACCGCACACTCTCGTTTTCGCTTTCCGAATGCTGAAATTGTATAAGGAGATGATGATCACATTTTTTAAAAAAAAATTATTTGTGAGGATCTTACATTTAATGTGTTAAATATATTAATTCTAAGCTGTAATAATTGAGCAGGCTAGAACAAATATTTTATATTAAATTGATATATAAATAGAAAAACAATTGTTATATATCAAAATTCAAAATTTTTGTGTTGTGTGGTGTTTATGCTCTTAAGAAAGGTAAGAATATGTCATTTCTATTGGAAGTGAATGATAAAATCCTACACATAAAATCTGCAATGAAATTTCTTCAATAATCAGATACTTATGTTGTTTCTTCTGAATAACAATAATATATGTAAATAGCATGGGCTAACATTCCAATACAATTTTCAAATTTTATATATTGAGCAATTATATTCTTTAAAGTATGAAGAAGACTGAATTGTGTCTTAATTGAAGAACAACTAATTTATATGATTGATTTGGCGACAGATACATATATGGATGTATTATATATTTAATATAGTATTGCTTATATAATAAATGTTAATCTAAGGAATATGTACGAAGGACAGATACCTTCATTAGTATCAATCAAGACATGTAAATTAATATTAAGTATATACCTAAACGCATGTCACTGTTATCTGTTTCGGTATATTAAGCAGAAATAATTTTAATTTTATATTTTACCTGTGATGCTTCAGACGAACTAACTTCGGATGGTTTTTCCGTCACACTACTATCATCTGGGTTCTCATCGTAGCATTTTAAGCTCTCCTCATCGCTATGATATGCCACTGAAGCTGGAGAAGGTCTTGGTGGACTCTTGCCAAGTTGCAAACTTGTTGGTGGTCGATTTGTTGATTTTCGTCCCAACGTACCAAGTGTACCACGACTTAAAGTGCCAGCACTATTCAGTGTGCCTGTACCAACACCATGTCGTGAACGATACAATTCCAAAGCAAGCTCCTGCCGTTCATCGATTGACATAGCCATTGACTCTTCTAAAGTTTTCTGTGCTTCTTCTGCATTATGGTAGCAAAAACAGTAAACGGTAAAAAGAAATAAAATAACAAATATAATTAAATGTTGTTTGCACAATTTAATTTGAGGACGACAGCGCACACAACAGTCGCCGCTCCATAACATTCTGTATAATTTATTTAGTTTTTACTTCACTTTTCATTCTATTGCTGTTAACTTACGTTTATATTTATAGCTTTTACTCTTTACGCACAGCACTGCTATTACCATGATTATTATGACAATGGATGTGGCAGCTAAAGCAACCATAAACCACGTTTGGCGGTAAAATGGTTTATGCTGCAGATAACCGTATTCCAAATGCAGTTTAGAAGGTGTCAGTATTGAGTCCTTTGAATAAACTGGGAACGATATGCCGTAACGATTGTAGGCAATGACGCGGAATGTGTAGGCGGTGGATGGTAGTAAACTTTGATAGCTGACAGTAAAATCCTGCATGGTGCCAGTGGTCGTTCGCGTAATTGTCTCCCAACGAGAATCGTCTGTAAATATGCGAAAGAAACAATTTTATTTATTTTAATACAGCGATATGCATTCGTAAATGTGCAGGTTGATTGAATTAATGGCTAAATTTATGTTTAAATGCGCGGTTACAGATTCTAAGCAAAGTTACTCAATTCGAAGGATCTTAAATATTAATTGAATTTTAATTTATCACAGACTAAATAATTTTGTTACAATTAAAAGTGCAAATGAAATGATTTAAAATTTTAAAAATTAAAAATTTATTTCCATTTTTCCCATTTGAGTCTTCCATCGTAGAAAGCACACGATAAACACTTTATTGAAAAGAACAATGTTCTAAGAATTTTATGTAAGTATTTAGAATAAAAAAAATTTTATGTTTAAAATACAAAATGCAACAAAAAAAAAAAAAATTAAATACTACTGATAAAACGCAGTTACAACAGAAATCTTACAAAATCTATTACAGCGTTGAAAACATTCAATAATAAAAATAATTTAAAATAATTTAGTTTTACCTTATTTTTGAAGTAAGGTTAATATATAGAAATTTCCATATTTATTTCTCAAGGCTTAGTCATGACTTGAGGTTATCAAACGGAGAACTTTATTCTATTGGTTGATATTTCCTATCTCTAAGAGATTTTGTTATTTACCACGTACCGCAACCAATTATTATGTGGATCTTTTGAATATAATTGGAATAAATGATTCCTTATATTTATAACTGAGTGATAAGATCAGATCATCAGGTAAAAAATTTGGAGCAAGTGAAATGAACATAATGAAATAAATGAAAACACAAGCGATTTGAATTTTAATCTAAATATCTTTATAGTCAATAAATGCGGTCATCGTAACACAACTGCTAATTTAATTCATATAAGAAGCTATTTTTAAAGCATATAAACTTATTCTATTATAAATAGTTTATAAAACGTAATTGGTTTATTATAAAATTATTTTTTTTTTATATAATAAATTTATGAACCAAGCGTTAAGAGTTATAGTGAGATTTAAGACCTATTGATGATGATGACAGTGATGAGGATGCTGATAGTGATAAATGAAAATGTTTTATATATCAAATATGTAATATTGATTGATACAACTATTTTGCATATTTTTACTTATTATAGAATACATGCATTATTATAAGAACAAATACTCACAAATAAATGTTGGCTCTCCTCTTTCTACTCAAGCAAGTTTAGAAGCGTAATTTTGTAGATCAATCAAATAAATAAAAATACATAAAGAAAGAAATTTTGTACATTAAAAACCATTACCAAAAAATTAATTAATTCGTCAGACTAAGAACCAATTATAAGCAAGTACAATCAAAATAAATATAAAACCATTCCATCAAGTAAATATAATACTTTTTACATATTTATTTAAAAAAAACTACTTACCGCGCTTTTTTGCTTCAATGTAATAGCCAAGTATTGGCCCTCTGCCGGAAGGCCCATTAAGCCAATGCATTTCTACACTCGAAAGTGTTTTAGCAAGAATTAAGTCTCTAGGTGCTATTGGAGAGCCATCCTGTGGACCAGTTGTCACATTTTCGCTAACAGCTGGACCATAGTCAATGGTTTGTGCTCGTACCGTAAATGTATAAGTAACTTCTTCTTCTAGATTTTGTACAAGTAAATTTGTGTTGGAAACCTTTTGTTTCACTTGTTTGCTGAATTCTATAACAGATGTAAAATTTATTCGAAACATTTGCCTACACCTTGAATCTTTAGCTTTACAATGGACTTACTTTCGTTTTCCTCGGTTGTCTCATAGGTTACCAAGTATCCAAGTATTTCACCATTACGAAATTTTGGGACGTCCCATGATACTTTAAGGCTTTGCATTGTTATATCTTCAAATCGTAAATTCAATGGCGCACTTGGCAG